CAAAAATGGTTTGAGGTGTCTTTCCTTGTTTGTTAAGAAATTTAATGACGGCGCAATATTCAATTTTCTCCATAGTGGCTAGTTTCATCCCGATTTACTTGTTTACTCGTTGATAACTCAAAAGCTAATGACCCGATTAGGCTGAAACTTGGATATATACTAACAATGAGTTACTCAACTAGCGCCTACCTGCATAAGTAAGGTCACTCTCGCCAACCCCGCCATTCCGTGAACTTTTTGAACTCCCCTCGTAGGTCTACGCAATGTAAATATTTTTAATTATTTTGAATTAATCTGTGAAGTCTCTGTTCAACACATCGGATTTGCACAGGTCACATTTGTAAACCTCTCAGAACAATTCTTCTTCATGTTATTTATTATGTTATTTTATATTATTATGCAACTATAATTCTAAAAAAAATAATATAATTAGTCTCGTTACTAATAAATTACGAGAGTTATTATTATACGAGAAATAAATTAAGAAAATTTACGTCAAATGACGACCCTCCGCCATTAGGCTACTTTACTATTAGAACTACGTCGACTTCGCAGGTCGATATAGTACTTGGCAGACCGTGTAGATAGCGCTGATATAGAATTATTTTATTAGTAAAAAATCAATATATTTTGATGAACCACGCACGATGACTCGGCTCAAACTATATAGTAATACAGAATACGTTCTTTCTCGTGATACTAAGGTACGACAATGGTGGTGGTGGATGTAATGGTAGAGCCATGCTGCAGCTATATTAGTAGTATAGTTGTAGCACGAATGGATCGGCTCGACCGGGGAAGGACCACGCTCTCACAGAATAGAGACCTTTTTACTGGAATTTAGACATTCCATCTTAGACCTCACGGGTGACAACACATTTGCATTTTAATTCCTAATTGAGGATTAATTTAGATGTCTATGGGCCGCAGAACTACTTTCCTACTATTTTTCTCACTATCAGGTGGAGTGTAGTACTAATACATACGACATACGCCACACACACACACACACACACACACACACACACACACACACACACACACACACACACAGGAATTTTTTATAAATTGTAGACTTGGACTCTGTGGACGTCAAGATATGGTGATATGTTAAAATTTGGACTTATTACAACTTCCATATGGCACTTCCCACATGGAAATTATAAAAATTAAACTGTATCCTTGTAATTATTGAAAGTTATTTAATTATATGTGCATCACCGCAAAGAACTTCTGTTGCTGAAGATGATGGTTTTGCATATATGTAGTTAATATTGTTTTGTTAATTAGTTTCCACAAAATATTTATTTTGACCCAAAGTACTAATATAACTCAATCATTACTTCGGGATGCAAACATAGGCCTCCCTGATAGATTGACTCATATGGAGATTTCGGCCATAGTTGCCACAAATCGCAGACGGATTAACATCGCATTTTTTATTTTTTAGTTGTTATAAGACGCAGCTACCCATATCCTAGTTTCTTTCCCAGTGCATCTCTTCTCTCTCTGTCTCTTACGACACCCACCAGAGAAAATATGGGATAGTGGATATTCTTACACCGCAACTGTATAATTATTACTATGATCAGGGCAACTTCGAATAGATTTTTCCTGTGATCTTCTAAGTCCCTCTAAAGGTCCTTCTACTATATACTATAACTCTTTTTTCCTGTTGTACTCCTAGGGAGAATGAATCACAGATAAGTAGTGAGGTCAAAAATTTTACCGGGTAAAAGATATGTAATGTGCCTTTTCATCATCATCATTACAGCCCTTCAGTCCATGGCTGAACATGGCCTCCCCCAAGTAATGCCACAAAGCACGATCCAAAACCACATGCATCCATCGACTTCCTGCATGTCTTACCAGTTCGTCACTCCATATAGTGGGGGGTCGCCCTATATTACGCCTACCGGTACGAGGCTGCCACTCGAGAACCTTTATTCCCCATCGGTTATCGTTCCTTCGAGCTACATAGCCGGCCCATTGCCTCTTCAGCTTACTAATCCGTTGGGCTATGTCGGTCACTCTGGTTTTACTGCGGATATCCTCATTTTTGAGTTTATCACACAGAGAAACCCCGAGCATAGCCCTTTCCATAACTCACTAAGCGACTTTGAGCGTCCTCATACGGCCAGCAGTGAAGGACTACGTCTCAGTTCCATAGATCATTACTGGCAACACGCACTAGTTGTACAATCTAGTTTTCAGAGTTTGAGGTATACCTGACGAGAAGATGTGTCGTAATTTCCCGAACGCTTCGAGCCGAGTTGAATCCGTCGATTGACCTCTCGGTCGAAGTTGGACTTACCTAGTCGGACTATTTGTCCCATGTAAACGTACTTGTAAACAACTTCGAGCATAGTGCTCCCAACAACTACCGGCATAGGTGTGACATGGACATTAAACATGATCTTAGTTTAGTCCATGATCATCCGATCAATACTTATCCGTTGGGAGACCTCCTCCTCCATCGATTCTGTCATAAGAACTATATCGTCAGCAAATCGAAGGTGAGTCATGTACTCGCCATTGATGTTAATAACATATCCTTTCCAGTCGTTGAAGTAGCTCCAGTAGCTTGAACATGTCTTCCAATGCAGCGGTTAAGTTTCGGGGATATAACGTCACCCTGTCTTCTTACATCTCCCTGCAGTTGGATAGGTTTCGAACTCTGATTCTGTACTCGGATAGCCATCGTAGCCCTATTGTACAAATACTTCAGCACTTCGATATACCGACAGTCAACTTGGCACCGCTGAAGAGACTGTAGCACCGCCCAAATTTCGACGGAATCAAAGGCTTTTTCATAGTTCACATACGCCAGGCAACTCTGTACAATCTGATGCATGGTATGTATGTATGTCTATGGTACTGAAGCCTTTTCGGAAACGGGCTTGTTCGGGTGGGTCGTCGAATCTGTGTGAGAGACGATTCGTAATGACTCTTGAAAACAGCACGTAGACGCGGCTCAGAGGAAATCGGTCTGTAGTTCTTCAAGAGAGCGTTGTCGCCTTTCTTGAAGAACAAGACCACCGAACTTCTGTTCCACGCCTCCGGAGTAGTGCCACCATGGAGGACGGAATTGAAGAGCTTCTAAAGGACTTTAAGTACCGGTGTTTTCCACCAGCTTTCAGAAGCTCCTCTGTAATTCCATTTTCCATCCTCGCCTGGGTCCATGCCTTTTTTAAGGTGCTGGAGAGATATTCTAATCTCGCTCAGACTGACGCCCGGGATATCATCGGAATAGTGTCGGATAAAACTTGCTCTTGGATCGTTACTCACACTTGCGTGTGGCTCCAACGATGATGTGTCGGTGCCTGCTGCCCATAGAATCTCTCAATCTCACTCAAAATTTCAGGTGTCCCGGAAACGATGCTACCACACTCAGTATTCAGCTTTGACAGTTGGCTCTTTCTGGCAGACAGATCTCTGGCAAAGACTTGGAGTTCTGATTCTGCTCGATCGCTTCTTCAATACGAGCAGTATTAAAGTTGCGTAAGTCCCGCCGCATGAATTTGGAGATATGTCTGTTCAGTTGCCTGTATGCTGTCAAATCTGCTGGTGATTGCAGCCTAATCTCCCATCTAACAACCATGAGATTCAGAGTGTGATCGGAGAGTTTTTGTGTTCTTCTGCAGCGGGTCTTGCAGAACTTAGCTCCGACAGTTGTTAGTGTACAGTTTCCACGAGCTTTTCATTCATATCGTCCACTGCACTGCTATCTTCTAAGCACTGAAAGCGGTTTTGTTACTCGAGCTGAAAGGTTTCAGGATTCTGGATTAGAGCACGAGGGGGACGGAGCGTTGACTTCATTAGACGAGACCTCTCCAACACAATGTGTAGGTTCAGTGTGCCTCTAACCATTCGGTGTTCACTGCCATTTTTCACCCTTGCGATCACTGAGACATCACTGAACAGTTGCCGTCTAGTCGTCATAATGAAGTCAATCTCATTTTTTGTCGAACTGTCGGGGCTCGACCAGGTCCACTTTCTTTGGGGCCGCTTCTGGAAGAAAAAGTTCATCATAAAGAATCCCTCTTTCTCCATGAAGTCGGCCAGTTGCTGGCACCTTGGGTTCCATTGCCCTATTACAAATTTCCCTACATTCAGCTCACCGTTCTTTCTTGTGCTTAGCTTTGCGTTGAAGTCTTCAATTAACACCGTATAGTGAGTTTTGGACGAATGCATGGCTCTAGAAATATCCTCATACAATTCCTCCACCTCCACATCGGGATGTTCCGACGTTTGTGCGTAAACCTGTATGACCTTCAGCGAATACCGTTTGGTGATTCTGAGTATAAGATACGCAACCCTCGTCCACACACTCCCAATCTTTACAACGTTGTTAACGAGAGACTTGTGGATGATAAATCCAACACCTTCTTGGGACAGATGGTCGCCCTCCCGGTAAAAGTGCGGATTCGAGAATCACCGTGTCCTCCCCCTCTCTTCGGACCTCGGATAATCCAATAATATTCCAGTGCAACTTGTCTATCTCTTCTTCCAGCCCCAGGATCTTCTCGTCAGTCCTCAGGGTGCGTGCGTATGTTACCAGGTCGAGTCGTCGTAGGTGGCAGGTGGCAACCGAACCTCTATCGGAGATTTTTAGCACCCCCTGCCCCGCCGTTACTATGGTCGCCACCGTAGCAAGGAATAGCGGGGCCGCCGGGGACTGGGGGCCGTTTCTTTGTAACTATCATGCGGGGTATATTGCCATACTTGCTAGGCTTGGCGAGCGGGTTGACAACAGCAATTTTTTTTTGTACAGTTGCTGCTATGTGGAAGATGCTCCTGCCTGTGTCCCTCTGTCGCCTTTTACGACACCCACGGGAAGATATGTGGTAGTGGATATTTTTAACCGCCACTACACGACAAATGTGTGTGTGTGCTTCTTGCATCGTAGATATTTCAGAAAATTGTGTATATCACATCCTGGATGTGCCTCGAATGTGTTTACTGCATTTTTTTAAATAAAATATACTTAAATGTTTCAGGTACTGCAATCGGCGAAGGAACAGTTGAAGTGGTCTTTGCTGAAATGAAACTAAATTTAACAATATATTCTATAATATATTTACACGTAATACAATAAACAAAAGGCAATTTTATTTAATATTTCCACCGTATTATCACAAGATTGAATCAAAAATATAAATATAAAAAACAAATATTGAATTTTAATTGTTCTGATATAAATTACTTTATTAATGTACCAAAAACTTACTATATAAAGTCTGCATATGTTAATAATGCTCTCAATTCCCCGAGTTTTATTTAAAGCAATAAAAATCTATGAACTCATACCAAACTCATCAGGTGTTGGTTTCAAGTTTAATTTTGATACCTCTTTGAAGGCTGGATTATTTTTATCTTTCAGTAACTTGAATAAAACATTTTCTGATGTGCCCACAAAACACCCGATGGATTGAAAACGCTGAAATACAAAAAACATAATACATAAAAATTTGCTAAATAATAAAAAGAAAATATTAAAAAAAGTTATAGTATTTCTTACATACTATATTAATAATATCAAAATATTATTAAGATTACATTAACAATAAAATATTAGTAGGTATATATAAATTGTATGTACTAAAATTTTACCCAGATTTATTACCTACTAATAGTTCTAATGTATTTTACATATTTTAAAAGTATTAGACCAAATTACTACAGTACATTAATGATTTAAAACAAATGCTTTCCGATATATATTTAAAAAATTACTACCTCACATTTCACCATTTATATATTATAACTTTGCCTTAAAATCAAAACCCAATGTATCTATGGTAGGTATTTTATTCAATTTTGATATTTGTTTGAATTGCGGGTGGTTCTTGTCTTGCATCAGTTTGAACAAGACATTCTCAGAGGTTGTAATAAAGCACCCTATTGATTGCATGCGCTGTAATTATTAAAATGTAATAGTGAAATTTTGAATACTGTGAATTAAATTTATAACCATTATATATACGTAATAACAAAATTGTTATAAAATTTGACTTGCATGAATTTTCATCACATTTATGACAGCTGATTCCTAAGTGAATCATCTAAAATTTAAAATAACTATCTCTTACCTGCAGAGCTAATCCCCTATCCATCAATGACCTCGAAGAAACACCATCTGCCAATACATGAACACTTATGTCCTCATTCAGTAGGTCTATAACAGTTTGTTCAATACAAACATGAGCCTAAAATATAAACATATATATTATTAAAAATTTTTAAACATAATGCAATGATAATTAAAAAATATATATTTTATTATGATCTGGTATCACACTTATTTTAGCTAAATTCGCCTACAGTAACAACTGCATAGTACTGAAAGAAGCTAAGCTGAATGGTGTAGAAGATATTATACTGTCACAACTAAGGAGTACTTACTAATCATTATAAGAGCAGTCTGGGTTGTATCCCCACTAGTGGCAATGAAATTGTTAATAGATGCATACCTAAACCATAAACCTGCATACCTGCATTAGCAACTTGTATAACTAAAGAAAAAATATTTCAGTGGGGTGTACGTAAGCTATAACTTTACTTTTTACTTATTCTAATAAGTTCTATTCTTACCCTATCCAGTATGCTTATTACATTATTATGTGTAAAGACGAAGTAACAGAGCCATGGGACAATCACAATACATTCAGACCTAAAAACCAACACCACATAGTAATCAGGTATTCTAATATCACCACAAGCATTAACTTGTACAAATCTAGAACTAGACTAGAAAGCAATGTCAGGATATGGGAATAGCCTCCAAATAGTTTCCTGCCTTGTAACGGGAAGGGAAAACCCATTTGGCTGGCCCACGATGCCCACTCCAGAGTGGGCTGGATAGGTTCACTCAAGAATGTGTTGGTTGACTGTCCCTTTTCCCGCCGCTACCGAGATACGGCGCGGGGACATGGGAGTGTTGATAGTGACCTATCTTGCAATACTTCGACAGAGCCGCACCTTAGAGGTGGTGGTAATGGGACTGCACGGAGAGAGAAGTGTCGGTGTTTTGAGTCACCGCTCTTACTAACATGACTGGCGACAGAGCCATAGACCAGATCTACTGCTGGGGTCGGGAAGCTAATGCTTTCGAGTGCTCGTTTTTCCTGATCTATTGCCACACCATGGTATCGGGCTCGGGGAAGTCTGTTGCGAAGGTGAAATTGGAGGTCGCAGATGAACCTTGTGTTCTGATATGACTTACTGAGAAGAAAAAGAGAGAAGAATTGCATTCTCGAGGATCTACCATCCTTACCACCACAATGCTGAAATGCATAGGCTTTTGAAAAAAAAGTATTCTTAGTTTTCAGGATATGAGAAAGGTCAAAGGACAATCAGATCTTCAAACTAAGAGATTGTGCTTCGCACAAAGTAGCTTATGTTGTAGAGCCACGCTGCAGCTATATTCTGGTTGTAGCACGAAAGGTTAGGTTCAACTGGGGAAGGACCACGGTCTCACAGAATACCAGCGTAAAATAGCAGCTTGATGCTGCTGTGTTTCGTATGGTGAGTGTAGAAAACTGGAGACCCATTTTACTGGAATCAAGGCAATCCATCTTAATCCTCAGGTATGACAACGCATCTGCATTTTGATTCTTAATCGATTTAAATGTAGATGTCTATGGGCCACAGCTACCACTTACAATCAAATGGACTGTGCTCGTTTGTCACACTAATTCTATAAAAAAAGAAGCTTGCAAGTCCTCACAACTAGTTATCAGTTACTCTGGGCTCTTGTAGAGCCATCATGTAATTTTTTTTGATATAATGTTGCATTGTTATTCAGATACTTGGAAGAGAACTAACCTCAATACCAAACAATACAACAGAGCTCAAACTAGGCACATCTTTTTTCAGCCTTTCTTGAAGTTCTGGAGTGTACATTGAAAATTTAGTTTTTTCATAAACCATTGCAGCTTCAGCTACATCAATATCTTTAGTAGTATGACCAAGTCCTTTTGGATATTGCTCTGACACATAGACAGGTATCTTGAATAGTTTCGCTGCAGCCATCTAAAATAGTTACAACAGATTTTTGTTAAGCTATATATTCTTATTATTTTATGTGTGCCAAGAACATGCTGTAGCACATTACAGCAGCAGCATGAATGAGTCAACTAAACTGAGCAAGAACCATTTTTACCCAGAATACCAGAGTAAAGTACTAGCAGTATTATTTTGCTGTATTTTTTATAATTAGTGATGAGAGAACCAGATATCAGTTTTAAATAGATGTAGGGGACTTCCGGCCTCATTATCGACTTATCATCAAATAGTACTGTGTGCGAGTCATTCTTACTATATAATTGACGTATGTAGGTTTAACATGATGATGAAGAAGAAGAGAGTTTTTATACAATAAATTACATGCCCAAATACTCAAACGCTGCTTAAATTAAGACGCCATCAAGTCTCATGCTGTTGTAATAGTGGTGATAAGAGGTCCACTATTAACTGACTCCGAGTGGTTTAGAGGTGGAGAAATGAAACAACTATTTTATGTGCAGACCAATGGAGTATGGAATATGGTATATGGAATATATTTTTACGTCAACCCTGCCTGTATTTATATGGCTACGTCGTTAGTTTACCAATAATAACAATTTTTATTTGCCTAGCCAATTACAATTCTTACATTATGACCAATAAAGATTAATCAAAATACAACTATTATGTGCGTTCCATTTGCCGGCGTGAGACTCGTGTATATCTTCTCGTAGCTACGTCGCTGGACTGGGCTATAAAAGTTGTGCATGCTGGCGCGTGCGCCTGCGCCCTCCTTTCTGCTGCGCCCTCCTTTCTGCCAAGGCGCGCCCTCCTTTCTACCAAGGAGGGTCGCGTTCGTATACGGCTTAGAGATCTCTAGTTAGATCGTTAAGCCAGTTCCTAAAAAGGTTGGGTTTAGTGGGTAAAAGTCACCACATAACCACGCAGCCGGCTGCGTGGTATGCTATGAGCATTCCCAACCTCCCTCCCCCGCTTTCCGGAGGGTTGCCCATATTTGCTTCGGGCGCAAAAAAAAACGCGCGTAGTCGGCGAGCGGCGGCGGCGTGGGACACAGCTCCGGAACAGCAAGAAGAAGCGAGCTGCGGCGTTAAAGAAACGACTCGACGGATGCCTGAAGATAGCGGCGTGTGAAGACGATCTGGCGCTGAATGATATTTGCGGCTGCTTCTTTATTAGAACGTTAAATATATACGTCAAATTATCTCGCATCTCGATAATTAGAAAATAAATGTTTTCTTCGCCTTCTGTGTTATGGTAGCAGCGGGGTATATATTATTTAGGGTTGATTAGCCTGGCTGCTACACTGTCTTTATTACTTTAAGCCAAAGTAACTGTGACACTGCAAGACTTATCTACATCTTAAAATTTACTAGCATTTGAGTATTTGGCCATTAGAGTGGTATATAAGAACAAGTTCAACAACTCCATATAAAATTGAAAATTATTTATCAATGAAAAATGATAGCCCGGATCTTCCGCTTCACGCATCCAGCAGCTGCCAGCCGCCTTATGCAGATCGTCGCTAAGTGGCGCGCCTTGGGAAAGGCCTATGTCCAGCAGTGGACTGCCGCAAGCTGATGATGATGATGAAAAATGATAGAAGCTACAAAAATTACTTAAGGGAAAGACAGAATCTATTATCTATATATTATATAAAACACAAAAATGTCCATTATAGACTTTGAAACCATCCACTTGATGTATCCCAAACTGGTTTTATTAGAAAGGCAATAAGCACAGGCAAGGCACTAAAACAATACATTAGGCACTATATAAAAAAGTTAATAAATAAACAAAATTTCCTTTTTTTTTCATAGTAGAACACGGGTATCTTGGAAAAGGTCACAGGACAATATTTTATTTTTTTTATAGAAGAGGGGGGCAAACGAGGATGCGGCTCACCTGATGTTAAGTGCCTACCGCCGCCCATGATCAACTGCAACACCAGGGTAATTGTAGGTGCGTTGCCGGCCTTTTAGAAAGGAGTAAGCTCTTTTCTTAAAGGTCCCTAGGTCGTATCGGTCCGGAAAAATCGCCGGTGGTAAACTATTCCACAGAGAGGTCGTACGCGGAAGAAAACTCCTTGTGAAACGTACAGTGGTGGACCGCCAAGCATCCAGATGGTGTGGATGGTATCGGGACGTTTGCCGCGTAGTGCGTTTACGAAATTTGGCGGCTGGGGTTAATCCGAACAATTCCTCAGAGCACTCCCCATGGTATACGCGAAACAAAATGCAAAGAGATGCAACATCTCATCGCAGCGCCAGTGAATCGAACCGATCGGAAAGCACTCGGTGGTCGACGATTCGAGCCGCTCTACGCTGGATGCGGTCAAGTGGAAGGAGCTGGCACTGGGGGGCCCCAGCCCAGAGATGGGAACAGTATTCCATGTGCGGCCGAACCTGCGCCTTGTAAAGTTGTAGGCGGTGTGCCGGCATGAAATACTGTCCCGCTCTGCTAAGCACGCCAAGCTTTTTAGAGGCCAATTTACAAGTGACCACGAAACTGTACGTCACTCGATATGTCAACGCCGAGGATACCGATACTGGCTGAGGCAACAAGGGGAGTGCCTTGAAACTGCGGAGATACGACAAAGGGGTTCTTTTTAGCGGTTAACGCGCAAACTTGTGTCTTCTGGGGGTTAAACTGGACTAGATTTAGTCGCTCCCAATCCGAGACTCTGTGCAGCAAAGACTCGACTTCAGACACAAGTTTGTCCTGGTACTCGGAGATGTTTTCCCGAGAAATATTGGCACGGCCGGTGTACAGAGCATCACCAGTGCTGTCATCTGCATAACAATGAATGTTACGGTTTGCAACATATCATTGATATGCAGAAGAAACAGCGTTGGCGATAGCACGCAGCCTTGTGTAACAACAGCATTAATAGGCTTGTAATCGGAGCTTGCACCTTCTACAACGACCTTGATGCTCCGATCCGCAAGAAATCTTTCAATGAACAAAGCCAGAGAATTGTTATTATTGGCGATCAAACAGCACGGAACATGGCGACATCTTTAGCACAAACAAGATCTAATTACAAAAATCCAAAGAAATATTTTATCAGTGGAATAGTATATCCAAATGCAAGTATTGAACATGTAATTCAGTGTTCTAAAATTATGATTGAAGAACTACAAGAAGACGACTGGCTTGTTCTGTGTCTAGGATCCAATGACTCGAACCCAATTAAAATAGGCGTGGAGCTGTCGTCATTACTTAAGAAACAAAATAAGGCAAAAATATTAGTGACCAGTGTAATTGAAAACCCGTATCTTAATGTAAAAAGACTCAATTCCCATATTCAAACTATTTTAAAGTGTTTCAAAAATGTCAACTACCTAGATTTAAGTTACAATGGTATATACCCGTATCGTAGAGTAAATAATGTGATAGATACAATTGACTACAAAAAGTATTTCCTATGTAATTCAAAAAATAACAATGGCATACCAAAAGCTGACTGCAGGTCACTGGAAACCAATATAACCGCAAAGCCAGGCACCATCCCTTTCTATTTTAAAACTCTTAGAAAACATAAAACGGCTAATGATGGGTCAATCCCTATTAACAAAAAAGTGGAACCTTCTAGAGGCACGATTCCATACTACTTTAAGACAGTAAAAAAAATACGTTTGTACACAAAAAGACACTGATCAGCTTTTTCGTTAGGAACGACAATAAACACAACTCTTTTCGACTTCTTCATCAAAATATAGCTGGTGTACTAAATAAAATTGACATTATAGACTTGACGCTAACAGAATTATCACAAGTCTTATAAATCTATTGACGTCTTATGTTTAACTGAAACGTTTATACAGCGAGGTTGCGAGGCCAATTTGAATTTAAACGGATATAGGTTGGCTGCGTCGTTCTGTCGGCCGAAACAGAGACGGGGTGGCGTTTGTGTTCTCAGTAAAAAAGGATTGGAATGCAAACCTATTGATATTGCTAACCAACTTGCTTGTCCCTACCACTTCGAATGTTGTGGAATAGAAATCGCGCAATATAACCTTACCATTATTTGCATTTATAGAACACCGGATAGCAATGTTAATCTATTTTTTTACAAATTAAATGAGCTTTTATATCATTTTAACAAACAAAAAAACGTGCAAAAAATATATATTATGTGGCGATTGGAATATAGATATCCTCAAAGAAGGAAAAAATACGTACGAGCTATTTGAAATCTTAGAAATTTACAATATATCTATCCATATTAAAACCCCTACTAGGAAAAATGCATGTATTGATCAAGTAGCCAGCAATATAAGCAAGGTAGATGCCGAGATCTTAAACCTGGCATTATCAGACCATGAAACAGGTCAAGCCATATCATTTCAAATACAAAGAAAATCTACTGTAACAACCTGGCATGAATTTCGCAGAGACTACAGTAAAGAAAACATTAAAAAGTTTTCTGACTGTCTATCGCATCTCTCCTTTTCGGAAGTGTACGATCAGACCAGTGTTGATGAGGCCTATAGATCATTCCATAACTTGTTAACTCTATTTCATGGACTTTGCTTTCCTATAATTAAACTTACGAGAAACAACATGTGTAATAGAGGTAGGTGGAAAACAAAAGGTATAAAAAAGTCAAGTATTACGAAAAGAAAACTTTACCTAACCTATAAATACTCAAAAACTAATAAAATGTTAAATAAAAATAAATACGAAGTATATAACTATCTTTTGGAAAAGTGCATATATAAAGCTCAACAAAAAACCAACTTAAAATACATTCTTAATAGTAAAAATACTTGCAAAGCTGTTTGGAATTCAATAAATTCAAGTATAAATGAAACTACCCAAATTAATAAAATTGACGTAATTAAATTTAATGACCAAACAATTAGTAACCCTGGCATGATATGTGAATTATTTAACAATTTTTTTTATTGACCTAAGTCACATCAATAATACAAATAAGTCTGCTAAAAATTCTGCTCAACCAAATATAGATACAAATCCAAATACAATTTTCTTACAACCAACGG